GCTGCTGCTTTAAGTGCTCCAGCGAAAAGACAATGATTTAAAAAGCGGCAGTTGCTGCTGGCGCTCCTGCAGCACGGAGCTGCAGCAGCACGCGGCGGATGCCGCAAGTTTGTGAACAGCAGCTGCAGCAGCAGCGTAGCTGCAGCAGCAGCAACGGAGCTGCTGCTGCAGCAGCGCCTTAGCTGCTGCGTGAGGCTCTGTTCGCAGCCGCATTGCGGCCTTTATAGATGAAAATGGCCTTGCCGCTGCTGCTGCCTCAGCAGCAGCAGCAGCAGATGGTGCAGCAGCAGCTAGGTGCTTCTGCTACGCCAGTGTGCACGCATGTAGGTGCATTTAGCTAAAGAATTTGCCGCAGCAAGCTGCTGCAGCTGCTGCAGCTGCTGCAGCATGTGCCTGCCTCAGCAGCGAGCTGCTGCTGCTGCTGCTACGAGCGCCTGCCGCTGCAGCTGCGCTGCGGCCCCCGGCTTCGCAGACCGCGGCCGTTGCTTCTGCTGCTTCGCAGCAGCAGCAACAGCAGCAGCAGCAGCAGCAGCAGCTAATCGTCATTAGTGTCTGCCCATTTGAACCACCATCTTCTCAATTTGTCGCAGAACTCTTTAGGGTTTAGAGTAACAGTGTAGAAGTCTGCTGCATCGCGGTGTACAGACACCTCGTAGGCCCGCATGCTGCCGCAGCGGTCAACTTGCCATTCTTCCCGCCGCAGCAGCTCCCCCAAGCTGCTGCTGCTGCTGCTGCTGCTGCTGCTGAGGCGCAGCAGCAGCGTCTTGGCGGTCTCCTTCGCGCGGGCGAAGGCGCCGTCGGCGGCGGCGGCGCGCTGCTGCTGCTGCTGCAGCCGCTGCTGCTGCTGCTGCTGCTGCTGCTGCCTGTCGAAGGTCACTGCAGCAGCAGCAAGAAAACGGCTGCCTCTGCAGCTCCGCAGCGTCTGCACTTCCACATTTTGAATTTGGAAAAGGGCCTGGCGGAAGAGGGCTTCTCTTATGCTGTTGCTGACTGCAGCTGCGCGCTGCGCGTACAAACTGCCGCTGCTACTGCTGCTGCTGCTGCTGCTGCTGTTGCTGCTGCCGGTGATGCGGCGGGAAGCTGTGGTGGTGGTGCTGCTGGGAGTCGCCAGCAGCAGGCGAGGGGTCGCGTCGAGGCCTGTGAAGACGAAGTCAGGGCACTTCAAGGGTCCTGCTGCTGCTGCTTGCTGCTGCTGCTGCTGCTGCTGCTTTTGCTGCTGTTGTTGCTCTGGCTGCGCCTGAGGCTCCTCAGGCCCGTCAAATGCAGCGCGAAGCCACTCGGGCGTGCGGCAAGCAGGGAACTCCATCGCCGCGGTTTCCGCTGCTGCTGCAGCTGCTGCTGCTGCTGCTGCTGCTACTGCTGCAGCAACTGCTGCTGCAGCTGCTGCTGCTACTGCTGCAGCAGCTGCTGCTGCAGCTGCCACCACTGCAGCTGGTGCAGCAGCAGTAGCAACAGTTGCTGCTTCTGTGGCTCCAGGAGCTAAAGTGGCAATTGTTGCTGCTGCTGCTGCTGCTGACCGAGCTAGTCGGCTGCGATCCTACAACCCGCTATTTGTACCGCAGCCAAGCCCTAAACCCTAAACCCTAAACCCTAAACCCTAGCAAATTAAAATGCAATTGGCTTTACTCTTCATTCACATTAAAGAGCGAAGGCTTTCGTGGAGAGCTGTTACAGTACTTACAGCTGCAGCAAACCTGCATGCAACGAGCAGCAGTAGCAGCAGCAGCAGCAGCCGCTGCTGCAGCCCCACACGCTGCATCACTTTTTAGCCAATCTTCTTCTCCAATGCAAGAAGTTTCTTTTTATTTTTTTGCATTAGGGGAGAATTTCATCTGAAGCTGCTTAAACCAACACAAGCAGCAGCAGCAGCAGCAGCAGAAAAAAGGGCAGCAGCAGCAGAAACGGGCAGCAGCAAGAGTACGTTGGCCTCTTCTTAGGTCTCCATTCAAACACTTCTCCTAGGGCTTCCAGGAGCAGCAGCAGCCGCAGAAGAAGCAGCAGCAACGGCGGTAGCAGCAACAGCAGCAGCAGCAACAGCTGCAGCAGCAGCAGAGGGAGGCAGCGGCAACACGAGTTGCCGAGGGGGTCGCCACCCGCCCAGCAGCAGCAGTTGCACTGGCAGCAGCCTCGACGAGACAGCAGCTATTCAAGATGTTCAGCAGCAGCAGGAGCAGCAGCAGCGGCGGCAGCAGCAGCAGCAACAGCAGCAGCAGCGAGAATACGGCCACGCTGCAGGATGCGCAGCAGCTGCTGAGCTTTATGGTCCTTAGCGTATTGAATGAGGTGAGCCGAGGGTTTAGGGCTTAGGGTTTAGGGTTTAGGGTTTAGG